TGAGGTTGGCACAGGGCCACCTCTCTTTTCCATCTTACCTGAACTACTTTAAACATTAAAGATGACTTACTGTATTATTTCTTCTCTGTTTCCATGGCGATTACTTTCTGAATTTATCCTCTCTCTCAAGCGATTCATTTCTGCATCAAGACTCTTAACAGTTCTGCTGACCTCTATGTGCTCAGAGTAGATTTGCCTAGCTTGTGCTATTTTTTCCTAAAGTAATATTTGAAACTCAATTAGTTGTTACCTCTTTTTAAAAATCACAACAAATGCTTTCACAACAAATATTTTGTGCTATGGAAAAACAAAGTCTCCAAGCAAGAACAATGTTTTTGTAGGGTTCTTTGTATACTTATCACAGCAAACCTAGTTATCATTAACAATTTTAGTAACAACTTTTATAGGTAGGTAGTTATTTCAGGGACAAGATCTGTATCCACCTAAGATCTTTAAATTGTTCACAGTCATCTAGCTAACAGATAAATGAGGAACCAAATTCACCATATTTAGAAAGGGCAATCTTCCAAAAGTCTTTGCAGATGTGATTTCAAAGTTAGTTAATAAAGCCTGATTAGATAGGTCTTCAACAGATCAGGTATGAGGTCTGTACAAGGAAAAACCTAGCATCCAAAAAACCAAAACAGTATTATTCAATTTAACTTAAAACACAAATTTTAAGGTTAAGTCATTTTAATCTTTTCATTGCAAAATACATAAGAACGAGTCCTAGATGGATAACCTCTAACTTACCTGTCAAGACAGAAATGATGATCTGCCAGAGAAAAAGAGGCCTTTATACAAAACTACTTTTACTTGATTTAGATAGCTTGAAACACAGCTGAGAGGATACTCAGTGTACCTGAGTACTAACGTGGTCTGTATATTGTACAAGTGGAATAATTTATGACTAAATATTAGAAGGATCATGCCCATCTGACTTCAGTAAAGAAAAACAACCCCCACCTACCTCTAATTCTTTTTCTTTGGAAGCCAGTAATTCTCTAAGATTTTTTATGCAAGGCAAGTGTTCTTTTTGTTTGTCCTGATGGTGCTGCAAACGGCGTTTATAGTTCTCCACTTCTGAGTCAATTTGGTTTAATTCATCCTGTTTGGAATAAATCAAGATGTGGTAAGTGAGCTGGTTGGGGTAAATCCCTAAGCATCTCTCTAATGTTTACTGACTTATCACAGACAATTGCCTTGGTTTTAGCACTGTCTAATTTATTTTGCTTTCAAGTAAGAATACCACTTCTAAAGTCCAGGTGCTTTAACAGCAACTTACCAAAAAGTCTATACTCAGTTCTGACAAGGACATAATAAATGCCTGTAGCGTTTTTAGGAATCATATCTTGAGGGGATGTTTTAATCTTTGAGAGAAAGAAAGGAAAAAAAAAAAAAACACCAAACCACAGCAGACATCTTTTCTTCTTAACCTCCACAAAGTACATTTACTTTGTATACTACATTCTAGCCCAAAGTTCTGATGCTGGTATGACATCAGCTAGAACCACATTTCTGTGTGAAAACTCAGTGTCCTGCTATACCTAGAATACACATGATGTAGGCTATAGCAACTTCCACACTGTGTTGATACAGCTGAAGCGGTACCGTATCTTCCCAGAGAAGCAAAGAGGTGTAAAGAATGACAAATTAGATTATAATTATCCTCCTCATCCCTGTCAACTAGATGGCTTATTTTAAAAAGAATTGGCCTCTATTTGTTTACTACTCTTAACTAGCAATAATGTTCTAATATTCTGAATACATCTGTTAACTTCTATTTTAAAGAACAACCATGTAAGGAAAGTAATCTTTAGAATTTCCATATTAAATATATTATTTATTTTTTATCTATCAGTTGTTTTCCTTATTTGTTTCCTTCCTCTTTTTGTTTGTGCTTGCTTCTGTGATTTGGGTTGACGACATAGCAATATACAATGTAAGTGAGACATGTAAGAGATTCCTATAGTGATCTTTCTAAGTTTTTCCTCATTCCATCTTTCTCCAAGTTTACGATACTGTAAACATGCTGGACTCTTGCCATTTCCGTTTTCAAATCATGAATTATTCTTGGCAAAATGAGATTGCTTTCCATTTGTCAATAGCAAATTTTGCATGTCACCACTCTGCTATTTATCTGAAGTCCTGCTACTTCTCTGCAATATCCAGGTGTCTTCTGTAGTCTTGGATAATTAAAACCATGTACGGGGACCTTCTTTGATTATGCAACTTCACAGAATAACAACCAGTTCATATAGAACTTCAAATGGTATTTTGACAACTGAACAGTTATGAAAATTCTTAGCCAGGTCCTACCAGAAGCAAACAAATAAGCCAAAAGAACAAAACGCAATGCTGTAAAAAGGAAGGTCAGGGAAACTTCTTCCTTCTGTTTCAGTCCATGACAAAATACCTGGAAAACAACCCCTCTCTCCCAACATAACACTGTAGCAACTACACTCAATCAACAAAAAATTGCCAAGGTTGTTTCTTGACGAGCTCTAGATGGAATGTTCTGTTTTTATTCTCATAGGTAGACCTTAAAGCGTATCAAGTAGCACACTGTCTTCTCCTGTTTCCTTTTAACCTCATACCCCTTGCCACAGAAAGGAACCAAATTAAAAATATAACATGAAATTATTGCTACCTTAACTGGACCAGCCATTTCCTCTACTTGATGGATTTTTTCTTTCATGTCTCCAAAATGTTTTTCCGCTACCTGAAGAATCTCTTTCATTTCTTCCATTTTTCTGCTTTGCTGCTGCAGGTCTTCTTTCACAGATTCCATCTTACCCTTATTTTCCTCTGCTTCATCTTCCTGTCAAAAATATATCAAAATGAAGAATAATAAAAGGAGACAGATTTGCAACTTACTGTACAAGATTTTTATTTTATTATTGCTATCAGGGTACAGGATTACATGCACCATTCTAAATAACAACAATACAAACAGCTTAAGGTACTTGTCATTAAAACCCAAAAGAAGAGACTGACAGATCTCGCAGGAGACCACTAAATCAAATCACAAAAGAAAAAGTGGAATTTCCTTATTAGCTGACAAAAATTAAGAGGACTTTAGTTGGGAATTGTGATGAAAAGACTAAAGGGCCTAAAATTTCCTGAAGCCTTAACCATTACAGTATTTTACTACAGTAATTTTTTAAACAAATAAACAAAGTAACTTCCCTCTGGATCTGTGACAGAGTATATACATTCAGTATACAAAGGACTACAGGAAGAGTAAGTGCATCATCACTGTTCCCTAGACAATTATACCATTCCTAATGAATTATCATCATACATACCGATTGAAAAAGACAAATATTCCAATACCTGGGAAATATATGTAAATGAAACCTTGTATTACTAAGATCCTGTTTAACAATCAGGCAATTGTGAAGCCAAGGTAGCAATGAAAGAAAAACAAGAGAACCAACACCAAATAATACGTAGTAGTAGTCAGAAAGTGCAGAAAACAAAACAAAAAAACAAACCAAACCAAAAAAACCACACCCAAAATCCATGAAAAGAACAAGGACAAGCAAATATATAAATCTACCAGTTGTGTAAGACCATTATTAGAAGCAATGGTAAAAATTTTGATGTTCAAAAAGCAAATGTCCAATGATTTTCAAGCAGGAAGATATTCTTCTACAAAAAGGTAATAAGAGTATTTTTCCTCTCCCTAAAAGGATTAATAGATTCACTGAATCATGGAATGGTTTGGGTTGGAAGAGACCTTAAAGATCATCCAGTTCCAACCCCCTGCCATGGGCAAGGACACCTTCCACTAGACCAGGTTGCTCAAAGCCTCATCCAGCCTGGCCTTGAACACTTCCAGGGATGGGGCATCCACAACATCTCTGGGCAACCTGTTCCAGTGCTTCAGCACCCTCTCTGTGAAGAATGTCTTCCTGATATGTGATCTAAGCCTCCCTGCTTTCAATTTAAACCCGTTACCCCTTGTCCTGTCACTACAGACCCTTGTAAAAAGTCCCCTCCCTGCTTCCTTGTAGCCCCTTCAGGTACTGGAAGGTGCTATAAAGTGTCCCCAGAGCCTTCTCTTCTCCAGGCTGAACAAGCTCAATTCTCGCAGCTTTTCATCATAGGAGAGATGTTCCAGCTCTCTGATCATCTTCGTGGCCTCGTCTGGACTCGCTCCAGAGGAGGGATAAAGAATCTACTTTTTTATACCAGTAGAAATAGATTATCTGGAAAAGAGAAACCCTAGAAAAGCTTACAGAATCTGTACTGATCATGTTCATTTAGCTGCCTGCCTGTCCACACACACGAAGGACAGGCTGCTGAAAACCTATGAGTTTAGGCCAACATCAGAAGTGAAAAAAAAATTCTGGGAAACTTAGCCTTTGCTGATCCTAGATAAAATAGTGGGAAAACTGACATGGAATTTAATTGAAACAACTGTATTGAGGATTGTTATCATGTATCAGCAGGATTCTCGAACTTAAAACCTTAGCCATCTATACATTAGCTTATTACAGAGTAACAGTTGAAATTCATGGCCACCAAGATACAAATCACAAAAGCTTATCAAACGTGTTTTTCTGCTCTTGAACTACTACCTGCACAGTCATTACCAATGAACACATGGATAAGAACTTTGAAAGAACCATCATATTACCATAATCCTTCCCTAGGGCAATATATGAACTTTAAAACTTCTGCACGGTGAAGCTACAAGCAGCACAAGAAACTGTGGGTTCAGGGCAGAGAAGCAGTGCTGTGACATAAATTATGCTCCAGGGTGGCCTTTTCTTATGCTTTCATTATGCCACTTCTGACCTCCAAACCTACAGCGCTGCTTCTCCCCAACCAGAGTTTTACAGCGCTGCAGGTCTGGAATGAGGAAAGAAAATGCATGGAGTTTCCCTTTACAATGCCACCTTGCCTTCCATAAACCTGCAGGGCTATTGGTTTGAAAAGGGCAGAAGAAAGAGAAAAAAAAAACCAACCACAACCAAACACTCACCAAAAATAAACAGAATCATGCCATTGCCGTAATTGTAAACATTCTGTCAAGTGTTACATTCTTCACGATTTAGTTAACTTGTACACTAGTTGAAAAGTCTACAGTATTTGCTTATTTCAAGACACTGCCAACGTTATAAACATTTCATATCCTTATCAGACATAATTTGATAATCTGTTCTTACTAATGTACGGATGTCCACTGACTGGTGTTCTTCCACATTTTCAAGATCTGCTATTTCTGCATTTGTTGTTCTCATTTTTATCTGAAAACAAAAAGAAAATAAATATTCTTAAGCTTATCTAAGGAGTTCACATTTGTTTATTTAAGTGAACACAGAAAGCAAGACATTTGGTCCTTTAGTTTCATTAGCACCTACAAAAGACAGAACTCTTCCCAGTAACCTATGGAATCCTTTTTTAGATATAACTTGTTTCGAAAGTCACACGCACTTTAAGTCAAGTTCCTGTTGTATTCCTATTCAACATGACAATTGAATAAAATATATTTTATTTTTCTTTCATATTTCTCTTTGGCAATTTGAGTCCATGTGCCAGGTTTTTTGCTGGTTCTTATTTGCAATTTATTGAATATAACTTTATATAGCATGTACTATCCTACACTGCCTAACTGTAACAGTCCTTCCCTGTTGGCCAGGACTAATATATATATCCTACCTAGAAGTACTGAAAAACAAAGAAAGCTAATAGTTCTAAAATTTAAAATTAAGAAAACTTAAAGGTGAGATATTCAGCAAATTAAAATGGATTAAGAATAGAAATTAAGAGCATGAAGATAAACAAGATTCTGGGAATGAAGAGTAGAGGCTCAACAGAAATAAAGGAGGGGGAAGCAGGGAAAAAAAGACTTGCATCAAATATCACAACAACTTCACATTTTGTCAAAGAAAGAAATAGGAATTTTAAAATATAGCACAAGCGGGGGGGGGGGGGGAAAGAAAAAGAAAAGAGATAACAGAGAACAACAGCTTACACTAGGATTAATGTGACCCCTACCACTCTGTCCTAAATGATGAATGCTTACTACAAAAGTAAATAACATGAGAGCAACCAACAGCATAAAAGGTTAAACTATCATCTACTCAAAATACATTGCAGAAGCAAAAATGAAATAAAGAAAGACTGACCACTTTCTAAAAATTAGCACTGTTTTTTTACCTGTAGTTCTTTTTGGTGTCGTCGATGACCATGAAGATGATCTTCATTACACCTAATCTCTTTTTCAATGGAATATAAATGTTGCTGAGATGATGTTAACTGCGCCTTTTTGCTTTCAATTTCTTTCTCTAAGTGACTTTATAAACAAAGTGATATTGAGATATTATGTATTACACAGGTTCAATTACACACACAGAGAAATACACAAAAATTAAATGCATGACGAGACAAAGGGTAAAAACGCCCTTCCCCCTCCCCCTCTTTTAAACATGCAACATTAGAAGATGCTAACCTTATTTCTGCTTCAACATCTTTGCTTAGGAACTTGGGTCTGACGTAATCAGAAGAGTAATACCTTCTTTCAAATACCTGATCACCTTCAGCAGTGAAAGCTTCTCTGCAATTCACTGGGGGCCGGTTACACTGCATTACTTCACGAGCTTCCTTGTTGCTCTGAAAAATACGATGGCCTTATCATACCAGTAGAAAAGGGAATGTAATTAAAGATATGAATTTAAAACTTGTGAACAAATTTTCACCCAGAAATAATTTCAATTCTTAGTTTTTTATTAAGAAATACAGCAATGAAAGAATGTGAATAATATCTGAAATCAAAAATTTGCTTTTCTTAGTTAACAAGACATTTTGTTCTCAAAATCCACCCACTTAGTCTAGCTGCTCATTTCTTTCATCCTATTATAAATGCATCTGAATTGTAAGTTCTGTAGTGTAATCAATCCCTCATAATTTGCCCGTGGAGCAGAGAAATCACTAACCAAACTGTCACTATGCACAGGTATATTTAACTATTGGAAGAGGAATACACACACAGGAAATCATCTTCCAAAGGAAGCTGTGAAGTACATGAAACACTATTCAATTAGTTTACAGAACCATGCTGGTAAAAAACAACCCTGCCAGTGTCAGACTAAGTGGTCACAAGTGCCTTTGCCTGAGGCAATCATTTCATCCCCTCAGAAGTATCATTCCTTCTACACAATACCTGTTCAACTTCTTTCAGATTCAGTTGAAGTTGCGCAGGCAGGCTCAAAGATACTAATGTTATGAAAATCAGGGGCAAGACAGAGGGGAAAAGAACAAAACTAGCACCCCTGTCATGGGAAAGGCCCAGGAAGTTCAGCTGTAACATATCCCACTCAGTAACAGCCATGCTTGCTGAACAGCCAGCGAGCGCTGCACT